GTTTGTGTGTGTGTGTGTGTGTGTGTGTGTGTGTGTGTGTGTACACATATGTGTGTGTTGAAACGCTTGAAAAGTAAGCTAGAACAAAATATGGATAATACAGCATTTTTAAAAGCCAGATTCCATATTCTCAAACTATTCAAGGAATTCATTTCCATCTATCCTTGTGGGGTGCTGTTTAGCTGTTTACTTCGTTCCTCATGACTGGAGAACAAGACATATATTATTTAAGTGTTCCGAAGAGGACCTAAATCGCAAACCAAGTCACGAACTTTATATGTCAGGTCTCCTGTATGGCATGAAACCAATAACTCTTCTTTTCTACTCCCGAAAGATCTCCGCTTGCAAAGTTTTCTCGTTAATCTCGCAAGTCCCAGCTAAGCTGGGAGCCGAGTGATGTGTGGGTATCCTTGATAGATGTTTTACTCCCCCTCCTTGCCGCAACCTCTTTGAGATGTTTGGTAGACGTATGTACTAGTGTCACTCAATATTACATATTAACAAATGAACATATATTCTGATTTTTTTTTTTCCGTACCAGGTTCTATAGAGGGAAGCCTCTTAAAACTGACCAGTTTTAGACTTGTTAAAAAACATTTGCGTCTATAAAATACAACTTTATTAAGGCATTCTTCTTTGCTTTGTCGAATTCCTGTTTCAGTTGCGTGTATATCTCATGCAGTTGTGAGCGCCGTAAAACTTTTACCAAACTGAAACTGTGTATGTACTTTTTATGTCCACATGTTTTTTAAATCAATCATGTTCGGTTTGAATGCAAAAATCATCTCATGTTGGATTTCATCTCTGTTTTGTTTTTGTTTTGTTTTTATATATTCTTTTGTCATCTGAATGTTAATATTGGGTTTTTTTATCTCTCCAGTTCTTCTGAAGAAACACAAGCCATCTACAGCATGGGACTCATCTGCAACACGGGGACGATCACGTGGTTTGGAGGTTCCGGTGCTGTGCGGCTGGAGTTGACGCCCTTTGTTCGTGGAGACTTCCGGACGTGTTTTGTCATTGAGTCTGAAAACATTCATGTGAAAATTTCACAAGAAAATCCTCACGTATCAAAAGCTAAAAATTATCGCTTGAAAGCTCACGAAGAAAGGACGTTGAAGTTGGATCACTTAGTGACTTCTAAATTGAAAAGTAATGAGTTTTGTGTGAGCTCGAAAAGTGGTGATCCTTTGTTGTTGTACATAGAATCTGTGAGGACTCCTGATGTGATTGGAGTAGCAAAAGTTGTGTTTCATTATGATGTGGAAAAGCTGGACTCCATGGTGCTTGTTGATCCGATGGAAGGTGAGTTCATGTAAATTGTTATGAGGTCTTTTTACAGGAGCTTTTAATACAATTTTATTACATGTAAGTTACGACCTCCGGGGTCTGGAGTATGACGGCTAGGCGCTTCGCCGTCGCACGCAGGAAACCTGAGTTCGATCCTCAAGTGGGGAGAACAAGGATAAAGAGTACTTCGGTCTTTCTCCTGGGTTGTTATATCCTTTTTCAGCCCTGGTTGCCCCTCCCCCCTCCCT